TACTTTTAGTAGAGACAGGGTTTCGCCATGATGGCCAGGCTGGTCTCAAACTCCTGGTCTCAAGTGACCCACCTGCCTTGGCCTCCCAAAGTGCTGGGATTACAGGCATGAGCCCACCTGGCTACATTTTCACTTATATATATTTTCCTGCTCTGTGTTCAGAAGTTAAGAAGACTGATCAAAAATTAAATTTTTGAATAGTTGGTATATGTACATGGGATAAAATTATAAAGGTGGAAATAATATATAGTGATAAGTAAACCTCTTTTTACCTATCCAGTTCCCCTTTTTAAAGGCAAGGTTTGTTATAATTTTCTCTAATTCTTCCAGAGAGTCTCCATGCGCGAGCGCGCGCGCACGTGTGTGTGTGTGTGCCTGCCTGCCTGCGTGTATCTTTTACTGTGGTAAAATATAGATAACCTGACGTTCACCATTTTAGCATAGAATGCTGTGGCATTAACATCACTGTACAACCATCATGGCTGTCCATTTTAGGCTTTTCATCTTCCCAAACTGAAACTCTGTACCCGTTTAATAATAATTCCATATCTCTCCCTGTTGCCGCCCGTGGCAACCACCGTGCTACTTCTGTGTCTATGAGTCTGATTATCCCAGGTGCCTCATGTATAAATGGAAGAGTACAATATTTGTCCTTCCCGTGCTTGCTTTGGCAGCACATATGCTGAAATAGGAACAAAAGAAATACGATTAGCATGGCCCCTGTGCGAGGATGACATGCAAATTTTCAAGCATTCCATTTTTAAAAAACAAACAATATTTGTCCTTCTGTGTCTGGTTTATTTCACTTAGCGTAATGTTCTCAAGGTTCACCCATCTTGTTGCATGTGTCAGAATTTTATTCCTTTTTGAGTAATATTCCATTGTATTTTTCCCACATTTTGTTCATCCATCTGTCTATTGATGGACATTTGTGTTTTTTTCATCTTCTGACTGTTGTGAATAATGCTGCAGTGAATATTGGTGTATAAATATCTGTTTGAGTCTCTGCTTTTTTTTTTTTTTTTTGAGACAGAGTTTTACTCTTGTTGCCCAGGCTAGAGTGCAATGAAATGATCTCGGCTCACTGCAACCTCCACCTCCCAGGTTCAAGCAATTTTCCTGCCTCAGCCTCTTGAGTAGCTGGGACTACAGGCTCGTGCCACCACGTCCAGCTAATTTTGTATTTTTAGTAGAAACGGGGTTTCACCATGTTTGTCAGGCTGGTCTTGAATTCCTGGCCTCAGGTAATCTACCCGTCTCGGCCTCCCAAAGTGGCGGGATTATAGGCGTGAGCCATCGTGCCTGGCTGAGTCTCTGCTTTTAATTCTTTTGAGTGTCTATCCAGGAGTGGAATTGCTAGATCACGTGGCAGTTCTGTGTTCGACCTTTGAGGAACCACTGCAGTGTTTTCCACAGCAGCTGCACCATTTTGCATTCCCACCAGCAATGCAGAGGCTCTGGTTTCTCCACATCTTTGCTGGCACTTGTGATTTCTGTTGGTTTTTATGGAGGTGGGTGTTGTTGTTAGTGTTGTTTCTGTAATAACCATCCTACCGGGTGTGAAGTGGTACCTCACTGGGGCTTTGATTTGGGATTAGTAATGTTGAGCATCTTTTCATGTAGTTATTGGCTGTTTATACATCTTTGGAGAAACGTCTTGTCTTCGCCCATTTTTAAACCAGGTTGTTTTCTTTTGTTTGATTTTGAGTTGTAGGACATGTGTTTATTTTTAACATGAATGGTAAGATACTACACTCTGCTTCTTTTTTACTTATCAGTATATCTTGATTATTCTTTATTAGTATATGCAAATCATCCTCATTTCATTGATGAATCATCATATATTGAATTAATCTCTCCACTAATGGACATCTAAGTTGTTTCCAGGCTTTTGCTATAATAGTTCCTGCTACAGAGAAGATCTTAGTATGCATATCATCTAGCAAAAGTGAGAATTTTTTCTTGGATAAATGATTGGAAATATGTCAAAGGGCTTGCAAATGTCTGGTAGATGTTGCTAACCTGATACACAGCCTCTCATCTCATGTGAGAATACCTGTTTCCACAGTCCTTCTTAAACAGTTTAATTATCAAGCATTGAGATTCTTTCTTCCAATCTGATATGTGAACAATAGAAACTCAGTGTTAATTTTCTTTTCTTTTTGGGACAGAGTCTTGTTCTGTTGTCCAGGCTGGAGTGCAGTGGCACAATTTCAGCTCACTGCAACCTCTGTCTCCCGGGTTCAAGCAGTTCTCCTGTCTCAGCCTCCTGAGTAGCTAGGATCACAGGCTTATGCCACCATGCCTGGGTAATTTTTGTATTTTTAGTAGAGATGGGGTTTCACCATGTTGGTCAGGCTGGTCTCAAACTCCTGACCTCAGATGATCCACCAGCCTTGGCCTTGCAAAGTGCTGGGATTACAGGCGTGAGCCACCACACCCCTAATTTTTACTTTCTAAGTTATGAGCGTCTTTCCTCTCTATTACAGCTATTTATATTTATTTCCTTTTGTTCGAACTGATGGTTCATGATTTTTCCCCATTTTTCTCACTGAATTATTTATCTTTTTATATATGAAGGTCTCAGCCTTAGTCATGATATGTATGTCATCTGTCTTTTCACTCTACTTTTACTTTCTGGCATGCAGAATTTTTTTTTTTAATTTAGTCAAATTATACACCTTTGGAGTATGGATTTAATTTTTGGAAATAAACATCATTTAGAGTAGTTTTAGTAGAATAAATTTAGGTTCCCCTAAGTAAAGCTAATTTGGTGGGGAAAAAATACACCCACAAGGAGTACCTCTGAAGGAAAGAATATAATTTTTCCATGTAGCTGATAAATTTAATTTGAAAGTGACTCTAATCTTATTCACAAACAAATCCAGGTTATTATAATTAACAGAATAAAAGTAGACTATAAGTCAGTAGTATCAGTTGCTGGCTCTATCATGGATTTTCTATGTGCCAGTTTCTTTTTATTTCATTTTCCTTATTTATAAAATTGAAATAAAAATTCCTGTACCACTTAAGCCACAAGAATATAAGAATATCAAATAAAAAATATCAACTTACATTTTTTTAAACACTCCATTCTAATCAATTTCAGAACATGTTGATACTTAAGAATTTGGTGAGCTAAGATGAGCTAGGGCCCAATCCTGGAATAGAAGTGCTGACCTTTCCCCAGCCACACCCATCTGCCCTGTTCCTATGCTTCAGTACGTTTACAGCGATCTTATTTTTAGTATTCCAGACTATTATGTGTGATATGGTTTGGCTGTGTCCCCACCCAGATCTCATCTTGAATTCCAGCTGCCATAATTCCCATGTGTCGTGGGGGGAACCCAGTAAGAGGTGATTGAATCACAGGGGCAGGTTTTTCTCATGGCATTCTCATGATAGTGAATAAGATGGTTTTATAAAGGGCAGACGCTCTCTTGCCTGCTGCCATGTAAGATGTGCCTCTCCTTCTCTGCCTTCCACCATGATTGTGAGGCCTCCGCAGCCATGTAGAACTGTGGGTCCATTAAACCTCTTTTTCTTTATAAATCAGCCAGTCTGGGGTATTTCTTCATAGCCGTATTAGCAGTATGAGAATGGACTAGTACACTGTGTTTACCTCATACCTGCCCCATCTATAGGAGCTTTTTTCCCTAATCTTTTTTTTTTTTGAGATGGAGTCTCACTCTGTTGCCCAGGCGGGAGTGCGGGGGCACCATGTTGGCTCATGCAACCTCTGTCTCCTGGGTTCAAGCAATTCTGTTGCCTCAGCCTCCTGAGTAGCTGGGATTATAGGTGCCCACCACCATGCCCATCTAATTTTTGTATTTTTAGTAGAGATGGGGTTTCACCCTGTTGGCCAGGCTGGTCTCGAACTCCTGACATCAGGTGATCCATGCACCTCGGTCTCCCAAAGTGCTGGGATTATAGGTGTAAGCCACCGTGCTCAGCCTTTTCCTAATATTTTCTTAATCTTTACACAAATTTTGCAGTCCAGCAGCACCAAGTACCCACTTGCTAATGTAGCGAGTCTCTTTTTTCATTGCTTTGATCTTCAACTCAGTATGAGTCTCTGAAGCGCACGGTATCCAATATTCATTTCTTTCACTGATAGGGAGACTTAAGCTTCGGTAGCGATTGGCAGGAACCTTGAGAGTACTAGGTCCTGTCTAAAATTCAGCAAGAAGTAGTAACAAGAATTTATTTGTAATGGATTAGAAATAACTTTTCCTAGGAGCACTGGATTTAGTATAATATTACTTTTACTTCTTCACATATAGTTCTGTTTTTGAAGAGATATTAAAATGGCATTTTGCAATTCATGTTTATCAGGTAGTAAGAAGTGTGAGCAGTGTGGAGAGATTGCGTGGGCAGCTTCCCCAAGCTGGAAGCTACTCAGAGAGTCTTTAAAAATGGTATTGTTACTGGGTCTGCGCTTGTGCAGTAGAAAAACATAAAAGTGGAATGGTGACTGTTGGGTCCACACACCCCTCAGTAAGAAATGAATTGCAAAACCAGGTTTATGTATGAATGAAGTGAGTGAGGAACTAAGACTACTTATATAACTTGGATAAATCTCAAAACACAACGTCGAGTTTAGAAAATTACAAAAGAAGGAAACATAATACCATATATTCATTTTAAATACACAAAATAATAGTAAATATTGTTTATGATACAAAGGTATGCATGGAAATGATAAGCATTATCCTCAGAATAGCGGTGTGGTTGCACCTGAAGATGAAAGGAGAAGGGGTGGAATGTTAGCTGTTTCTGCATTGTTTCATCGTTAGGAAAAAATTTTTGAAGAAAATGTGGCAAGATGTTAACATCTGTTCAATCTCGGTATTGGCGGGCCATGCGCGGTGGCTCACGCCTGTAATCCCAGCACTTTGGGAGGCTGAGGAGGGCAGATAGATCTACCTGCAGTCAAGAGTTCAAGACCATCCTGGCCAACACGGTGAAACCCCGTCTCTACTAAAAAGACAAAAATTAGCTGGGCGTGGTGGCGCATGCCTGTAATCCCAGCTACTTGGGAGGCTGAGGTAGGAGAATGGCTTGAACCTGGGAGGCGGAGGTTGCAGCGAGCTGAGATCGTACCACTGCACTCCAGCCTGGTGAGAGAGTGAGACTCTGCCTCACATACACAAAAAAAATCTTGGTATTGGCTGTCATCTTTTTTCCTGTACTTTTCTGTGAAATACTTTACACATAAAAATAAATAAGAGTGATTTATATCTTTTTTTTTTTTTTTT